TGCAAAAACTCTCAACAAAATAATAGCAAATCGACTCCAACAATACATTTAAAAAAAAATCATTCACACACACAAAAAAATCATTCACCACAATTAAGTAGAATTTATTCCTGGTTACAAGGATGGTTCAATATTTGTAAATCATCAACATGATTCATCACATCAATAAGAGAAATGATAAGAATCATACGATCGTTTCAATAGATACAGAAAAATCATTTAATAAAGTACATTTATTCATGATAAAAACCCTCCACAAAGTAGGTTTACATGAGATGTACCTCAACATAACAAAGGCCTTATATGAAAAACCCACAACTAATATCATTCTCAGGTGAAAAACTGAGAGTCTTTCCCCTAGGGTCAGGAACAAGACAAGTATGTCCATTTTCACCACTTTTATTCAACATGGTACTGGAAGTACTAGCCACAGCAAACAGACAACAAAAAGAAATAAAAAGCACCCAAGGAAGTAAGGAAGAAGTAAAGTAAGGAAGAAGTAAAACTTGCACTATTTATAGGTGACATGATACTATATATAGAAAACCTGAAAGACCCCACCAAAAAAACTGCCAGAATAAATGAATTCAGTAAAGTTGTAGGATACAAAATTAATGTAAAGAAATCCACTGCATTTCTATACACTAATAATGAAGCAACAGAATGTAAAATTAAGAAAACAATTCCATTCACAATTACACCAAAAACAATAAAATATCTAAGAACAAACTTAACCAAAGAGATGAAAGACTTGTATTCCTACAACTATAAAAACATTGATGAAAGAAATCCAAGATGACCTGAAGACATGGCAAGGCATTCCATGCTCATGGATTGGAAGAAGAAATACTGTTAAAATGTTTATACTATCCAAAGCAATCCATACACTTAATGCAATGTCTATCAAAATACCAAGAGCATTTTTCACATAACTAGAACAATCCTAAAATTTGTATGGAATCACAAAAGACCCCAAGTAGCCAAAGCAGTCCTGAAAAAGAAAAGCAAAGGTGGAGGCATCAAACTCCAGACTTCAAGTTCTATTACAAAGCTGCAGTAATCAAAACAGTATGGTATATGTCCCCAGGGCATGGTTGCCGAGTGGGGAACCCAGATGGCCACCTCTGCCTAATGGGAATAAAACAGTGTTCCCCTTCTTCCACTGGCAGATTTAAAATGGAAGATTTAAATAGGATCCAGAGTCTCATAACTTAATATCTAATATGTCCAATATATAATTCAAAAATCACTTATCATACCAAGAACCTGGGAAATCCCATCTAAAGTGAGAAATGACAATCAACAGATGCTAACACCAAAGTGACATATCTTGGAATTATCTGACAAGAATTTTAAAGCAAGTGTGAACATGATTGAATCGAATGAAAAAAATTTTAAGTTTCATCAAAGAAACAGAAGATATAAAGAAGAACCAAATGGAAATCTTAGAATTGAAAAATACAATGACTGAAATTTTAAAACTCAGTGGATGAGTTCAATAACAGAAGATAAAACAATATAAGGTACCCAATCTGAAGAACATAGAGTAAAAAAAAATGAACAGAACTTTAGGGACCTGTGGGACTATAAAAAATGAACTAACATTCATGACATTGGAGTCCCAGGAGCAGAGAAGAAAAAGGAAAATGCTAAAAGGTATTTAAAGAAATAATAGCTGGGGCATCTGAGTGGCTCAGACTCTTGAGTTCCACTCAGGTCATGATCTCCGGGTCCTGGGATCAAGTCCCACATGGGGCTCTGTACTCAGCACAGAGTCTGCTTTTCTCCCTCTCTCTCTCTCTCTCCCCCCCTGCCCCTCCCCCCCCACTTGCACACACATGTGCTCTCTCTCTCAAATAAAGAAAATCTTTTTTAAAAAAAAAATAGGGGATCCCTGGGTGGCTCAGCGGTTTGGCGCCTGCCTTTGGCCCGGGGCGCAATCCTGGAGTCCCAGGGTCGAGTCCGGCGTTGGACTCCTGGCATGGAGCCTGCTTCTCCCTCTGCCTGTGTCTCTGCCTCTCTTTCTATGTCTATCATAAATAAATAAATAAATAAACAAATAAACAAATAAATGTAAATATAAATATGAATATGAATATAAATATAAATATGAATAAATAATGGCTGAAATCTCCCAAATTTGACAAAAAGACATAACCTTAAGTTTCAGAAAACTGAGTGAACCCAACAGGATAAACCCAGAGACATAGAGCCAAACTTCTGAAAACCAGAGACAAAACAAACTTCTATTGGGAAAGAACAATTCAAATGACAGTTGATTTCTCAGCAAAAAACCATAAAGGTCAAAAAAAGTGGCATGACTTTTTTCAAATGCTGAAGAAAAAGAAATGTGAACCCCAAATTCTAAATCAAATGAAGCTAGCCTTCAGGAATAGAGGAGAAATGAAGACATCCTTAGACAAAGAAAAACTAAGAGAATTTGTTGTCAGCACATCTACCCTAAAGAGTGACTAAAGGAAGTTCTTGAAACAAATAATTTTAAAAGAAAAAGAAATCTTGGAACATCAGAAAAGAAAAAAGAACATTAGAAAGAGCAAATCTATAGGTAAATACAATACACTTTCTTTTTCCTCTTGAGTTTTCTAAATTGCATTTGACAGTTGAAGCAAAAAGTATAACATCATCTGGTGTGAGTCTCAGTCTATGTAGAGGAAATATTTAAGACAATTATAAGTGAGATAGGGTAAACAGATTTGAAGGTTTCTAAACTTCACTCTGACTGGAAAGATGTTGACACCTGTAGACTGTGATAAGTTATGTATGCATAATGTAATTTCTGGAGCAACCACTTAAAACCTGTACAAAGAGATACATTCAGAAATACTGTAGATAAATCAAAATAGAATTCTAAAAAGTTTTCAAACAACCCACAGGAAGGCAAGAAAAAAAAACAAAAAAAAAACAAACAAACAAAAAAAAAACCAGAGAAAACAGAAAATGAATGTTAAGATGGCAGACTTGGGTGCCTGGATGGCTCAGTCAGTTAAGTGTCTGCCTTCAGCTCAGGTGATAATCCTGAGGTCCTGGGATCAAGTCCCAAGTCAGGCTCCCTGCTCAGGGGGGAGTCTGCTTTTCCCTCTCTCTGCCCCTCCCCCTGCTAATGTTCTCTTTGTTTTCTTTTAAAATGACAGACTTAAACTCTAAAATATCAATAATTACATTAAAAGTAAATGGCCTAAAAAAACAATTGAAAGTGAATTAAAATGGGCAGCCCCAGTGGTGCAGCGGTTTAGCGCCGCCTGCAGCCCGGGGTGTGATCCTGGAGACCCGGGATCGAGTCCCACGTCAGGCTCCCTGCATGGAATCTGCTTCTCCCTCTGCCTGTGTCTCTGCCTCTCTCTCTCTCTCTCTCTCTCTCTGAATAAATAAATAAATAAATCTTTTTTTTAAAAAGTGAATAAAAATGACTCAGCTAAATGCAAAAGCATTATGCTGAATGGAGCAGGGGAGCCAATCTCACAAGGTCACATGCTGGGTGTTTCCATTTATATAACTGTTCATTTTCTGGGACTGCCATAATAAATTACCAGAAACTGAGCAGCTTAGCACAACAGAAATTCATTGTTCTGAATGCTAAAAGTGCAAAATCATGGTGTCAGCAAGGCCATGTTTCCTCTGAGGGTGCTAAGGAAGGATCCTTCCTTGCCTCTTCCAGCTTCTGGTAGGCCCAGACATTTCCTGCCTTAAGACAGCATAATTCTTCATTACATGGCATTCTCTCTACATCTCTTCATATAGTCTTCATTCTGTCTACGTCTCTACATCTGAATTTCCCTTTTTCATAAGGACATCAGTCATATTGGATTAGGGCCCATCCTGATGACCACATTTTAACTTGATTACCTCTGTAAAAACCTAATTTCTAAATTAAGTCACATTCTGAGTTCTGGCAGTTAAGTGTTCAATATGCCTTTTTGAGGGAACACAATTCAACCCACAACAATAACATTCTCAAACTGACAAAATTATGGAGATGGAAAACACAGTGGTTAAGGATGGTGCTAGGTTTGGAAGTAATTGTGACAATAAAGGGGTAGGATGAGAGATCTTTATGGTGATGGAAGAGTTCTGTGTCTTTTTTTTTTTTTAAGATTTTAATTATTTATTCATGAGAGATGTAGAGAGAAAGAGAGGCAGAGACACAGGCAGAGGGAGAAGTAGGCTCCATGCAGGGAACCTAACGTAGGACTCAATCCTTGGGTCTCCAGGATCACACCCTGAGCTGAAGGCGGCGCCAAACAACTGAGCCACCCGGGCTGCCTGAGTTCTGTGTCTGGAGTACAGTGACAGTTACATGGGGGATCCCTGGGTGGCTCAGCTTAACTGTTTCTCAGGAAGCCACAGGAAGATGTGGTCCAGCAAAACCAGATAGCAAACCAAGCATGAGGAGCACAGAATCCAGGAGACAAGGATCCCACCAGAAGAGGAAAAAGGAAACTCCCAGGATAAACATCAGTGCTGAACCCGGTTGGTTCAAAATAGTGAGCTCCTATGGGAGCACTCTTGCTGTGTTCATGAAGCCTGGGTGCTCCTTCTGAAGGGAGGATTACTACCTGCATTTGAAGGACACCTGCAGTGTAGTGAGGAGGCATCAAGAATTAGTAGCTCCTGGGCACCTGGGTGGCTCAGTGGTTGAGCATCTGCTTTTGGTTCAGCGCATGATCTCAGGGTCCTGGGTTTAAGCCCCACCTGGGGCTCCCTGCTCAGCGGGGAGCCTGCTTCTCCCTCTGCCAATGTCTCTGCCTCTCTCTGTGTGTCTCTCATGAATAAATAAATAAAATCTTAAAAAAAAAAAAAGAATTGGTAGCTCCTAAACCCAGGAACCTAATCTGTCATGTCTCACTGTGAGATCCTACATGGTGAAATGGAGATGACGATACATCTCACATAAGGCCATTGGAGGGATTTAGAGATGACATGTAATGGGCAACTGGATGGGGAAAAATGCTCTCAAATCAGTTCTTCTGGCTCATTCTTACCTCTAGTTCATGGTGGGGAACAGGTTGTGATGGAAGACAGGAAACACACTTGATCTTTATGGTCAGGGGGTTTAAGTCCTGCTTTTGCTCCTCGGTCATGATAGGAACTTCTGTTTTTAAAGTCAGAAAACAATCTAAAATGCTGGCAGACTTCCCTCTGCCACGACTCACAACAGTTTGCCATCCTGGGGGGTGGGGAGGAAAACACACACAGCATTAGACTGTTACTCATGACAGCCCCAAGACAAGCACAGAGGGATCAGACAACCTGCGAAGAGCCAATGATAAATTATAACCAAAAGAAGAAAACGTAAAAAAAAAAAAAATTAATAGAATTGGCAAACACCTACTGGCAACATTATATATATGCCAGTTTCTCAAACTGAGGTCCTGTAAGTTACCTAAGAGAATTCAATTGTGGTGATTTAATTTTGATGATCATCTTGTAATATTATAAGCATTTCCTGAATCATCTACAGGAATACCGATGCTTGGATGGTACCCTCAAGCAGTCTGATTTACTTAGTCTGGCACATAGCCTCCACTCCAAGGGTTTTTAAAAGCTCCCCAGGCAGTTTAGAACCATCATTCTAGTACAGTAACTACTGGCCATGTGTGGCTACTTAACTTTAAATTAAAATGAAGGACAACTCAAAATGCAGTTCCTTCATCACATGAGTCATATTTCAAATGCTCAGTAGCCATGTGTAGCTATGAGCTACTGGACCAGACAGCACAGAGCTAGAGTAGTCCCATCACCGCAGAAAGCTCTATTGGAGAGTGCTGCTCTAGGCAATTATTTTAGAACAGAACACATTCAAAAACACATAATGCCAGTGTCTCTGCTACGGTGGCCAATGGTGCTACTTTAACTGGTGTGGTCCAATGAGAAAAGCATAGGTACTGATGTAGAATGGAACTGGGACATTGGAGCCAAATCAAGCACGGTCACCTCCTGCTATGACAGTTTTGTTATATAGCACAACTAGGGAAAGGGGTGGGTGAATGGAGCCACTGCATGGCACACAGGTAGCTGTGAGAATATTTTTCTCATGAAAGGGGTCCATGCATTTTACCAGGTAGAGACCTATTGGTGTGGGACAGGATGGGGGTAGGTAAAACCCTCCAGCTGTTCAAGAAGAGAGGCCTGGGCTCACATCCTGAACCTCTTAGAAGCTCTCTGAGGCTTAATTTCCTCAAGTGCAAAATGGGCAGAGATCCTGCCATTCTTAGGGTGAAGAGGATTAAGAGGGTTGATGTTTGCAAAGGTGCTGGGAACACCATCCAGCACATAGTGCATGCTCAAAAAGACCAGATCTATTCCCTTCACGATGCTTGTGAACATATTCCTAAAGCACACAAAAGCCCAGTCACTCACGCTCAGAATGAAGAGTCCCTTCCAAAACAAGTCATGGGCCAGTGGTGTGCAGCTATGTGCACAGGCCGTGAGCATGGGGCCATGTGCAGCTCCTGGGGACAGCCCTCAGTGCTCCCATGTCTTTCTCTCCAACAAAGCTAACCCATTAAGGCCATAACTAACCATGATTTGTATTCTAGAATGTTGTAAATATTTTCATGGGAAAGGCTGCCCAGTTTAGAAGAAATTTCAAGTGCAAACATGCACTCAGTCATCATTCAGGGGTCACCTGGGTGGTTCAGTGGGTTAAGCACCTGCCTTTGGCTCAGGTCATGATCCCGGGGTCCTGGGACCGAACCACCCCCCCCATGTCAGGCTCCCTGCTCAGTGGGGAGTCTGCTTCTCCCTCTTCCTCTGCCGCTCCCCCTGCCTGGGCTCTCTCTCTCAAATAAATAAATATTCTTTTTCCTAAGATTTTATTCATCTATTTGTCTGAGAGAGAGAACGCAAGAGTACAAGCAGGGGGAATGGCAGGCAGAGAGAGAAGCAGGCTCCCTGCCAAGCAAGGAGCCTGATGGGAGAGTTGATCTCAGGACCCTGGGATCACATCTGAGCTGAAGATAGACACCCAACTGGCTGATCCACTCAGGTGTCCCATATAAAGAAAATCTTAAAAAAAAAAATCACCATTCAGAAACTTAGGGAAGCTGAGATCCAGAGATGTTAAGAAATTATCCAAGGTCTCCTGGTCAATAAGCCATGGAATCCATGTCCAAACCAGCCCTGCCCACCTATACTTGGCCTCTCCACTAAGCAGTAAAAACAAGAGTTCATTCCAAACACAGAATCTTTCTGGAATCTTAATGGGTTCCTGGCCAATCAGTACACACCACTAAGGGATACAACGCCAAGGGCCTAATTTGAAATTGAAGATGATTACCAAAAGTGATCATGCTGGTTTTGGAATAATCTTACGCTATTATTTTATGGCAAAAACAAATATACAGTTAGCCTGCCAAGCCAAGGTCCTTCTTTGCTTTTGACCATAAACCATGATATCAGTACAAGGGAGGAGGTTTATCTTTCTGTCTTCCTTGCTGGACGCCCAGCGCCCTGTATCCAGCCCACCCAAATGTTCTGACAGAGACAGCTACCACCTCCACACCAGTGACCTCTCTGAGTCCTACTGTGTGCAAGAGTCCCTGCTAAGCAGTTCATACACACCATCTCCCGTGACCCTTCCTGCAGCCCTCTAGGGTGGGAATTCTCACCCCTCTTCTACAGATGAGAACGCGAGTTGAAGGACTCAGAGAAAGTGGGCAACTTGTTCAAAGTCTGTTTGTCACTGGTGCTCTAGGAATAACTGTCAGGGCCAGGACGGCACAAATTGGAGAGAAGGGAGACCCAGACAACTCTTGGCTTCACCCTGCTGGAAATGGTCATACCAAACCGGTTGAGACCATCTGAACTGCTCCTTCCTCTCACAACAAAATTAAGAAGCAAAGTCACCTTAATGCAAAGTTAGCAGGTCATCTGGAGCTCATCCACCCAAAGGCAGGGGTTTCTCTTGGGGATTCAGCCCACAAAGCATCCCCCGGAGATGTCTGCTCCCAGCAGGAGCATGCAACCACTGCTGGAGACGCTGAGTCCTCCTGGAGCACAGCCTCAGAGTGGGCAAGAGCCTCTGAAAATTCACTTCTCCAGAAAAGACTCCTGTGTCAGTGAAAAGCTAAGACAGCCTCAAAGGCCCAACTTTAGGTAAAAACTGATTTTCAAAAATCCATTTAAAAGTGAAAACTAGAGGGATGCCTGGGTGGCTCTGCCAGCTGAGCATCTGCCTTGGGCTCAGGTCATGCCCTCAGGGTCCTAGGATGGAGTCCAGCATCAGGCTCCCCGCTCAGTGCAGAGCCTGCTTCTCCCTCTGCCTCTGCCCTGACCCTGGTAGTGTTTCCTCTCTCTCTAGCTCGCGCTCTCTCTCAAATGAATAAATAAGATCTGAAAAAAAAAAGTGAAAACTAAAAAGATAATAGTATTTATCAAAACGTATCAACATCAGCACAAGAACTTGTGAAAATTGTGATTTTTCCCAGCACCTGCGGGACAACTTCTATGAGGTAAAATCACAAGTGGCCGCAGGGGTTGCCCATCTCGACAGCAGCCTAAATTTCTGCAGGTTGGCCAGCAGAGGGCACACATCCACCCTGATGGCCCAAGCAAACTCACTTACGAGGAAGCAGGCAGGCAATTATTTTCTCTGAAAAGAAAAAAAGGGTCTCCCCCCATATTACTATTTTTAAGATGAAGTCACATAATTTTACCCAAAATATATTGAGCTTTCCATTATCAAAACGTACAGATACAACATGCAAACCTACTTATTATTTGTCAAACCATAGAAAATCTAGTTTCTAAATTGTGATAGATCTTACAAAGCAAAAGAACGAAACTCCTGTTCTGTCCCAGACCTATGTGACCTCAGGTGAGTTGCTCTGCCTTCTGGGACTTGAGTCCTCCCAGAGCAAGGGACAGGCACCCCAACAGCACCCCTATGAGTTCGCTGGCAGATTCCAAGTTTGTCTCGAGCAGTAAATGACATGATGGCAGAAATACTGACTCCTTTCCCCATTTCCTCCACTAGATGTTTGCATAACAATCTGCAGGAAGGTGTTTATAAAAAGCGGCATCTTATTTTAGCAAACAGGATCAGGACAGTTATTCTCACAGGTTTCTTTGGAATCAGTCCTGAGTTCAAATCCTGGCCTCACCCTTACTTGCTGTGTGATCTTGAGCGATACACGTGACCTCTCTGTGCCTCCCTTTTCTCCTCTGTACAGTGGAGACGCTTACCTCCACTTTGCTGAAGTGACTGTGAACGTGAAACTAGGTGGCGGAACAGAGGCTTGGTCAACGCAAGCATCCTGTTTATGGACATCCTGGCCATATGTGACAAGATGACCAAAACCTGTTGGGACCAGGGGTAACCACCTGCGAGGAGTGGCATCACCACCAGCTCAGTGGAGAAGGCACCATGCTTCCAATGTCCTTCCACCTTGAGGTCAACTTCCTCCTCCTGAGATCTTTTCCTTCTCTTCTGGCTCTTCTTTCTCCCCTCTGACTCCTTCTGTTTAACTGTGCAATCAAAGGAAGGAAATAAGTGTTCAAAGGAGCTCATATACAAGCTACCATATGTGAATGCACACATGCTGCAGAGATTCAGAAAGGTGCCTTTGTGCTGCTGCCCTGCCCCAGCACCCTGAAGAGGTCTAAATATGGACAGCTGACTGGTTGTCAGTTAACAGGCAGAGGGGGCTGAGGTTGGATGATGATCACAGCACCACCAGATGCCAAATTTCTCCCTCAAGTCAGCTCTTAACCACAGTGTAGGGCTGAGGTTCAGGCTTTGGAGTTGAATCACAAGGTTCCAGAACCACATCTCCCCCCTTACCCATTCTGAGCCTCAATCACCTTATCTGGAGAATGGAGGCAACAGCAATTTTTAGGGTGTGAGAGAAGTAAATGAGCAAAGCTACATAAATACTCAGCTTAGATCCAGAAAAAAAAAAAGAGACAATAAGATCTATATGTCTATGGTAATTAAAGCCATGAGCTAGTTGTTCCGTGATATATATAAAGACCAATGGAACAGACTATCAAAAGCCCAGAAATATACTGCATGCATAAGGGGGACTCAGTAGATGCCAGAGGTGGTGTTTCAGATCAGAGGGAAGGATGGACTAGTCCGTTAATTGTACTGCTATCCATTTGGAGGCAAAGGAAATTACTTGGCACCTCATGCCATATGCAAAATGAATGGCAGACTAACAGTGGAAAACAAAAAACTTCAAAATCATTAGAAGAATACATCAGCTCTACTGATGTCTGGATGAGGAAGGATTTCTTAAACTCTATCAAAAGTACAAAATAGGAATAGTTAATGACTGGTGTGAAAAACAAGACAGCGTACATAAAGTAAAAGTTACCCTGGCCTCTGATGTTTACAGGCATCTAAGTGGCAATGCGTAATTATCCAGAAGATGTGAAAAATAGAGCTTATGGAACAGCGAGAAAAAATGTAAACCCAGGGGCTCCTGGGTTGCTCAGTCCATTAAGCGTCTGCCTGCAGCTCACGTCATGATCTTGGGGTCCTGGGATTGAGCCCTCAGTCGGGTTCCCTACGCAGCAGGGCCTCTGCTTCTCCCTCTGCCTCTACTCCTCCTCCCCTATACCACTTGTGCACTTGCTCTGATAAATAAATAAATAAATAAATAACAAACAATCTTTTTAAAAAAGTGTAAAACCCAACAGAAAAATAAGCAAAGAAACAGGACAGGCAAATCACATAGGATTGTGACCAAATAAGCGTATGAGATGCTATCAACCCCACGAGGAATCAGGAAGTAAGCCCCTGACCATGCCAAGCATGGCTGATAACGTGAAAAAGCTGGAATTCTCAGGACTTCTGTCAGGAAGGCAAATAGGTACAACCAGAGAGTAAACCAGCAGTATCTCCTGAAGGGTCAAGGTGCGTTTCCCAGGCCCTGTGATCCCACTGGACAAATGCCCTAGACTCTCTGGAACATGCAAATAGAGACCTGCACAAGGACGCTCACTATCACAATGTTGGTGACAGTGGGAAATTGGAGACAACCCAAATGTCCCTCAGTGGGGAGTCCACGGGTGACGGATGGCACATCCATCTAATGGGGCATCTACAGAAGTTACAAAGAAGGAGCTGCTGGAGCTGGTCTTACATATATAAACACAAATAAATCTCAGAATCAAACTTAAAGCAAAGAGTAAGTTGCAGGAAGGTACGTACAGTATGAAATCATCTCTGTAACTCATAAAAACAAAAATCAATACAATGTTGTATGGATGTGTCAGAAAGAAAAGGGTGGCAGCGAAGGGTCACACCAATTTCTATGCAGGATAGGATATGCTTTAAAAAGGATCCCTCAGGGATCCCTGGGTGGCACAGTGGTTTAGCGCCTGCCTTTGGCCCAGGGCGCGATCCTGGAGTCCCGGGATCGAGTCCCACGTCGGGCTCCTGGCATGGAGCCTGCTTCTCCCTCTGCCTATCTCTCTGCCTCTCTGTCTCTCTGTGTCTCTCATGAATAAATAATAAAATCTTTTTTTAAAAAAAAAAGGATATGCTTTTTAAAAAAAGACTATTTAAGAGAAAGAGAAGGAGAGCATAAGTAGGGGGAAGGGCAGAGGGAAAGGAAGACCCCTCACTGAGCAGGGAGCCCTACACAGGCTGGATCCTAGGACCTTGGGATCAGGCCCTGAGCCAAAGGCAGATGTTTAACCAACTGAGCCACTCAGGCACCCTAGGGTATGCTCCTTAAAAGCACAGGGTACAAAGGAAACAAACTGTATCTGTAAGCTTTTCTTTCTCAAAAAGAAGGAAGGAAGAGAGGAAGGAAGGAAAGGAGGGAAGGAGGAGGGAGGTGGAGGGAGGGGAGGGAAGGGTAAGGAGAAAAGATGAGGAAAGAGCAAGGAAAAAAAGAGCAAGAAAGAAATTAAGAAAATATGGCAAAATATTAACACCTAAATTGTAATACATTGTTGTATTTTCTGTGTATTCTATTTGTTTCAAAATAAAAAGGATGGTTTGAATAGCTCATTAAAATGCTTATGGAACTTTTTTGAAAAGCAAGGCTGTTTAAATCTTTTTTTTTTTTTAATTTTTATTTATTTATGATAGTCACACAGTGAGAGAGAGAGAGGCAGAGACATAGGCAGAGGGAGAAGCAGGTTCCATGCACCGGGAGCCCGACGTGGGATTCGATCCCGGGTCTCCAGGATCGCGCCCTGGGCCAAAGGCAAGCGCCAAACCGCTGCGCCACCCAGGGATCCCAAGCAAGGCTGTTTAATCTGGAAAAGAGAAAACTCAGAAAGGGTTGAAGGTGTGCAGATATGAAAGTATGAACTAGTCTTTTAGGGCCTTAAGAATAGGAATGTGAGCAACTGTGTTTGTGAAGCCTGGCAGAGAGCCCGCGGCAAGCAGTCACTTCTCTCTGCAGTTTCCCAATGTTCAACTCAAACCAGGAAAAGCAGATTAATTGATAGAGAGTTAAGGAAATGATTTGTAGCAGTTACAGCTGTACAAACAGGAAGTGGGCCACCCCAGGAGGCAGCAAGTGCACCAGCTCTAGAATATTCCACCCCATACTGGAAACCTAATTGCTTGCTAAAAAACTGGTGAGGAGAACAAGGTCAAGAATGAAGACATCAGGGATCCCTGGGTGGCGCAGCGGTTTGGCGCCTGCCTTTGGCCCAGGGCGCGATCCTGGAGATCCGGGATCGAATCCCACGTCGGGCTCCCGGTGCATGGAGCCTGCTTCTTCCTCTGCCTGTGTCTCTGCCTCTCTCTCTCTCTCTGTATGACTATCATAAATAAATTTAAAAAAAATTTAAAAAAAAAAAAAAAAAGAATGAAGACATCAATGTAGTGGCTTATGAGGACCATTGCCCCTCGGTCTGTTGCTATGACTGTAAGCTTCTGTGTGAGTGACTCCTGCAAAGTGGGACGCCATTTCCCTCATTCCACCATAAGAAGCAAATAACTTGGGGCACCTGGGTGACTCAGTGGTTGAGTGTCTGCCTTTGGTCAGGTCATGATCCTGGGGTCCTGGGATTGAGTCCCACATCAGGCTCCCAATGCGGAGCCTGCTTCTCCCTCTGCCTGTGTCTTTGCCTCTCTCTGTGTCCCTCATGAATAAATAAATTCTTTTTTTAAAGAAAGCAAATAACTTATCTTCCAAGATTCTTTCCATAACCTCGTTAGTGCTTCCCCAACATTAGTATCTGTCAAATAGGACAGTAGTTATTTATTTGAAAGTCTACAGCCAACATTAGAGATTTTCATGCTCCCCGTGTTCATGACACCATGAGTCAGGAGCACAGAAACATTGATGGAGTGAGGAGGGATGTAGTGTGGTTGGGTGGGATGAAGTGGGTAAGTGAATGGGATGAAATGGATGGATGGGTGGGTGGTGGGGATGGCTGGATGAGGTGAGATGGAGTGTTCTTTCAATTTCGAGTAACATTGGGTCAGATATCAAAGAATCTTTCTAAAGTATTCTGAATTTGAAATATTTCATAATTCTTCCAAGTCTAGTTATATTATAAAATTCCAAAATCCCATCCTAACTTACTTTGAAATTTTTGCTTTTCTAACATGTTTGTTAAGCTGCTAAATGATGATCTTTCAGTTAATTCCTTCACCTCCGTCCCAGCTACTGCTCCCAAAGAAACAGCTGTTTCTCTTGATATACTCCATCTAGAAAATTCCCAAAGAGAAAAATAAATGAAGGTAAAAAAAAAAAATCAGAGATCAGATCTAAGAATGTATTCACTGGACTAAATGTGAGAAGTTGTTTTTTTTTTTAATGACATTGCATTCCTCGAGCCAATTCTTCTTAAATTGCAGTGTGCATACGAATCACCTGGAAATGCCGTTAAATAAAATTCAGGTTATGGCTTAGTAACCTGGGGTGGAGCTGACATTCCACATTTTTAACAAGTTCCCAGTAATACTAATGCTATTGCTCTGCAGACCACACTTGTACTATCAATTTCTAGCCAACTAGAAATATTATGGAAAATAATATATATTTTATAAAAGCAGTCAAAATTCAATCCAACATCTAGAAAAAAAAATAATTATTAAAATCATAGAGGCAAAGCTGAATTAGGTGAAACGATATACCATAATCATGGATAGGAAAACTTCACAATGTAAGAAGGTCAATTCTTCTCAAATCAACACAAAAACTATTTTTTAAAAGTCAAGATTTTTTAATGACATAGCCTCTTTGTTCTCCACATCCCATTCTCCCAAGCCACCAGCTGGGCCTCCATTCTACCTCTGGTCCCCACAGCATCCAAGGAATCTCTTTCTCCGGGTCCTTCTTAGGCTCCAAAAGCAAATGCATTCACAGCAGGAAAGGCTGTGGACTTGGTGATCCAAAGATATGGGTTGGAGTCCTGGCTTTACCTACACTCCCAAGATTCCCAAGAATTCCAGTTTTAAAACCTTGAGCAAATCGCTAACCACTCTGTTATGTTGTGAAGAAAACGGAAATAGTAACACCACTTCACAGAGTGTCCATGATGAGGATTAAGTGAGATAAACCAACACGTGCAAAAGCATGGTGCATGTTTGCCTTCATAAACACAAGCATTCCTTTCTCTCTTCCTTTAATGTCACCTGGATTGCATGAGCTCAGACTTAAGTAAAGTTACTAAAAATCCACATGATTCTTGGTGAGAGTCTGTACAGCTTGTACAAGAAGGGGTTCTGCTCCCACTCCCCAAAATAACATGGGTCCATCCTTACCGAACTGTAGTAAGATCTTCCATTTTGAGTATCTTTTCATATTCCTCGGAGATCTTGGAAAAAGTTTCAGACTCTGCTGGGTGAGAATCTGATAATATTTATTAGCAAATGGACTTCTTGTTCCATTCTAGTTCATTGAAAAACGAGGGCCCTTTACCCATTTTGTAATGCCAGTCACCAGACAGAGGGATGGGTGTGTGGTAAGCATAAAAAAATTGGTTAATTTTTAATGAGTAAATGAATATACAGACTTGATGATTATTTGGACAAATGGAGGCAAGAGGAGGCCTCTAGTTTCTTATAGAACAATCCACATGGGGGGGAAAGAAAGAAAAAAGTCTATTATTTATCCAGTGTCCAATTCATCACTGTTTATATTAGTACTGAAAACACTCCCAAGAGCTCTACATTCCCACCTATAAGGAATGTTACAGTGCTACCAGCAAATGAAAAATTATGTAGTCACCATAAATGGAGTTTATGCCAAGTTCTTAAGTAAATAGGAAACTGTACATGGTGACATATTAATCTCAGAAAACAAAATTATGTATCCAGGACAAGATCATCTGTGTAAAAAAAAAAAAAAGAACCTTACAACAAAGGAATTGGCCAAAATTATATAATAACTCAAATATTGCAATGCTTGTTCCTGGTGATGGACCTATAGATTGTTTTTTCTGCTTGTCTTATACCTTTCTATATTCACTAATTTTTCTTACTCCTTTTTTTTAAGTTTTATTTATTCACTCAGGAGAGACACACAGAGAGAGAGAGGCAGAGAGACACAGGCAGAGGGAGAAGCAGGCTCCATGCAGGGAGCCTGACGTGGGACTCATCCTGGGTCTCCAGGATCACACCCTGGGCTGAAGGCAGCGCTAAACCGCTGAGCCACCCAGGCTGTCCTTCACTAATTTTTCTAAAAAAACCCCACATATATAGAAAAGTCTTATAAGTCATAAAATAAAAATTAAGCAAAGAAAAAGGTTCAGTGACAAAAAGTGATCGCATTGAGAGCAGCTCTGTTTTCCCAGAGTGAGCTAGCACCAGCCGGAGATGCTGATACACACGAGGGACAGCAGTATACATGCACGGCACCAGCAACACCAATCCAACCCTGTCCCTGCCCCAGATTCACACCTAACTTGTCCGCAGGGATCATCTCCACTCACCATGCAAAGACTTTGTGTGCTTTCCTGCTTTTTCTGTTTTCTCTCGTGCATCCTCCTGGTTCCACTCCCCTCTGATGTGTGGACCCTGTGCAGACAATCTTCTCTGACTTAAAACCAAATTTTTCACTTCTTCTAGAATGCAGGAGAAGAATCATTGACTAGGTTAATCAGAAATGCTTACAGAACACCTTCCATGTGTACGGCACTCTCCTGGTGCCGGAGATGGAGCATGTGGGTAAGACAGGCAGGGCCACTGCCCACCAGGAGTAGTTGCACAGGAGGCTGCTTCAAAATACTAACTGGCAATGGCTTCTTCCAAACGAGACCACTAAGTACTTGACCTGTGTGGTTCCATTTAAGCACCACACTTCACTTGAAGGAAGGCACTTCCACTTGCCCTATTTTACAGATGGGGAGTATGACACTTCTATAACTTTCCTGTGGTCAGAGAGCTGGTACTTATTAAGTCAAAACTACCAGAGAGCTGGTACTTATTAAGTCAAAACTACTCCTTGCAGTCAGCTAGGGAGATGAGCCTTCTATCTTTCATTTCTATCAATACAGGACTCTGCATGTTTGTAGCAGCAACCACTAGGTGAGGAATAATGAACGCGCCGAGGGAGTGAACGAATGAATGCAGATAATAGAAGATGCAGGAAAGAGTTGAAAAAAAAGGAGGTGCAATTGGATTCAGTGTTGAAGGACAGATACCAATATAAAAAGGTGCAGAGCAATGAAGTGCCAAGGTCAAAGCAGTGATATAGACAAGTCAATGGTAGGAGAGAGGAGATAGGGAAGAAACCTGGATGCAGAGGGAGGAGCCAGCTGAAGGGGTAGAAAGTCCCAAAAGACACAACACAGGCAGGGCACCAACCAAGTGTTGGAGAGAGAGACAGCCAAGAGCTGAGGGCATAGCAGTTGCCACACATGACTTCAAGGCTTCACAAATGATAGTCTTTGTCCAGGACTGAGAAACCAAGAAGTTGAGCAGATTTAATAGAGGAGACAGGCTAATAGATGGGATGTTCCATTCAAGACCAGCAAGCCAAAAACTGACAAGTTATGACATGGGAACTATGGTTCACCCAAATATGTTTCCTATCCTCTTTGTAACATGAGCCAACCTCTCATGCCATTTCTGGCTTCCCGAGAGACAGGAGTATCAAGAAAATAGCTTTAAAAGTGAAAAAAGGCAGGGCTTAAGATGACACGTGCACCAGATGCATTTTCATCAAAATGTTCTCCTGGGGCACCTGGTGGCTCAGTAGTTGAGCATCTCCTTTTGGCTCAGATTATGATCTCGGGGTCCTGGTATCAAGTCCCACATCAGGGTCCCCACAGGGGACCCTCCTGCTTCTCCCTCTGCCTATGTCTCTGCCTCCCTCTCTGTGTCTCTCATGAATAAATAAATAAAATCTTTTTAAAAATGTTCTCCTTACATATAAAACACACAGGGAAATGTTAACAATGACTATCTCTGGTCCGGCATCATGGGATCTTATTTCTTTCTCTCTTGTCCTAGTCAATTTCTCTCTCTCTCTTTTTTTAAGATTGCTTTATTTGAGAGAGGAAAAAAAAAAGGCATGGGGAAGGGGCAGTGGGAGAGTGAGAAGCAGACTCCACAGTGAGCACAGAGACTGTCATCCCACAACCCCGAGATCATGACCTGACCTGAAATCAAGAGTCAGACACCCAGCCACTGAGACACCCAGGCACCCCGGTGCTAGTCATTTCTAAATTGTTTTTCAAAGTGAACATTCACAGCTTATGGAAAAATGATTTAACATAAGAGGCAGTGATGCCAGGCTTGAGATGGGGTTTGAGGAAGAGCAAGTGCTGTCATTTCAAGAATACTCACAAAGGCCCATGGCCCTCCCTGCAAGGCCTCCTTCCTTTTCTGACCAGCTGATTCCATTTACCCTTCCAGACTCGGCTCCTCTGGCCCCTTCTCAGGGAAGCCTTCCTGATAGACCCGCCCCAACACCCCTGCTCCAATGTGAGCTCACTTCAGGGCAGATGTTTACCAGAAATTCTGGCTCAGCAGCTCTGGGGTAGGCCCTGGAACCTACATCTAGGCACACTCCAAATACATCTAAGAGAGGTGATTTTGAATGCCACACTTTGAAGATGCGGGTCTTTCCTTTGGTCCAAAAAGAAAAGTCACCTTGAATGCCATTTTCTCACACAGAAACCCTACAATGAGTAGTGTAGATATAAACAAGTGATTCTCAGCCAGGGGTGAGTCTGCTTCTCTCCCCAGGAGACATTTGGCAACGTCTGAAGAAAATTTTGGTTGTCACAACTGGGAGGCTACTCCTGTCATCTAGCAGGTGGAGGCCAGGAGTGCTGCTAAGCACAGGGAGCCCCCACAACAAGGAATGGTCTGACCCAAAATGCCAACAGCACCAGGAAACCTCAGGTATAAGTGAAAGATGAACAGTCAGAAGCAGCAAGCCCCCAGGGCCAGAAAGGCTCCTCGAGAAGGCAGGCTGGAATGCCCGAGAAAGCAGAGGGTTTCTAGTCACACAAAAAACGGGTTCCGACTCACACCCTTCAGGCAGGTGTCAGTGTTCTTTGCTCACTGTAAATTGGGGGGTAACTATACTTGTCTGAAGCCACCAACAATAGTGATAATAGCACCATACTCCATCCATTCTCGGATGCACCTTGCCATGACCTTTTCACATCTCTAAAAACTGGATACATCTTAAAATTAATGCCACGGCCTAGTTTAATTGATAGCATTTTAGTACAGCTTCTAAATTCTTTAGCGACAACACACACCCTCTTTATTGCTGGAGGTAGGGGGACATTCCCATCCCTGTGCCCCAGGTGCATATAACCAGAGGAAGTGGAAGGGTGCCCAAGGCCACTGGCTAGTTCAAGATGGGAGACAGGTTGGATTAAGCTGGCTGACTTCAAAGCCTGGATTTTTCCACTCCTCCTAGCTCTCTCCTTGGAAGTGAGCTAAAGAGGAGACTTTCTGGTATTGATAAAATATTTACCCAAATAAGAATCTAGAAGGTCTAATACGGTTGTCTCAGGATCATGGGATTTTAAAGTTTTCTCTTGTTTCTTGGTGTCTTTTTTTTTTTTTTTTTTGATAGTAGCTAACACCCATGTCAGGAGACATGTGAGTGCTTCCTGGGAACAGAAGTCCAGAAATGTGGTGGAGGCAGAGGTGGTGACCAATGTGCATGCACAGACACTGCCCACCCACAGACACAACTCCATGAGGCGCTACTTCCTGATGCTCAAGCTTGTCCTGGACGGATGGTGCACCACGGACACACAAATCAACATGTGCCCTGGGGAAGATGAGATGAAGTAAACGAGGGGACAGTGGCTCTGCTCCTGTTACTGGTGAGAAGTCACGCACCTCTAGCAATGTTTCAAATAAAACACAAATACTCGACTCACCACAACATCCTGTATCTTCTGAATACCCAGTTGTCTTTAACCGGTAATACTTGACTTTTCTCGAAACCTTGTCCTTGGTGTCCCAGACCCTCATGGTTATTTTGTGAAAATTAATTTTCTTTAGTAATTCCTTCGTCATGTTGATGTTGAAAGTCTGCGTCCATGACACCCAGACTTTGTCCCCTTCTTGCCAAGGCCTTACTGTCTGTGTCAAAGAACACCGAGAGGCCTTAAGTGTGCAGGACTGGGAGGCTCAGCAGCCTGAGATTCCTCACCCCCGCCAGCCTCAGCCTTCTGAGCCCTGCTCTCCACCTGCCTGCCTTTTGTACCCAGCGCTCCCCCCAACCCCGCCCCCAGCTCCCACCTCACTCAGGAAACAAGTGTCCCAGCTAGAGCCCATCACACTTCTGGGTTCATCAGAAAAGACAAAGCAATTACCTGCAAACCGTGCCCTTTCTGGTGACTTCCAAACACTGACCCAGAGTCAGATCACAGGCAGGAGGGTGGGAGTATGTGCGGGCAGGCGTGTGTGCGCACATGGATATACACAGGTACTCATACAGAGAAGGAAATCACAAAAGGAGCAAAAACTTTGAACCACCAAAGAAATTACTAGATAAAGATATGTAAATAGAAAGCTCAGTAATTGGTATTTTTAGGTCAGTGTGGATTCTCATTCAGTAGGTCTGGCAGGAGGGATCCCAATATTCTGCATTTCTAGCAAGCTCCAGGGGAAGCAAGCACACCTTATGCAGTATTAGACTATATACAAGGTACACACACACCTTAATTCCTGAATCCAGGAACACTTTGGCCACCATTGGAAATACCACCATGTCAACTTTTTTAGGCTCCCCATCATCTGGCAGAAGGAAATACTCAATGTGGTAGTAACGGCGATACTTTGCAGTAGGTTTGTCCATTTTAGGGTGTTTCCTATATTTTTCTATCAAAATTGTATATTTTCCTTTATAACCTAGAAGACATGGATTTAATGAGTCTTGTTTGAACCTCACATGGCAAAGTACACCCATCTCCACAGTTCTCTAGAACCAAGAAAGAGCCTGATGCTGTGGAAGAACATCCACTCCTGTGCTGCTTGCCCTGCTTGGGGGCTGAGATGCAGGTCCAGTCCGTCTAGCCAGTAGAGTTAACAGGGTCTGCACTGGACATCAGGGCACAAAAATTCAGTGCATGACTCTGAGAGGGAGTGTCTCTTTAAATTTTTCACCTGAGGTGCTTCACCTGCCTTCCCCGGTCTTGGCAGTAAAAAAGTTCAAGTTCCCCAGAAGATAGGTCAATTCGAAAGAACTCTAAAAGAGTTCTTTACTCTGCCCCTAATCTTGGCGTTCAATCATGTGATTCACTCTGGCCCAAAAAATGTTAGCAGGTGCGGGAGGTGCCCAAAGACCTGAAGAGTTCTTGGATGTTTGGGCTTGCCCTCTTGTTAAGGAAAAGCAGAGACACACAGAATGTGTCTGGCCGACCCACATGTCCAGCAGAAGGATGAGAGGCACACATGAAGCAGAGCAGAGCCACCACAGGGAGCCTAGCCTGGATCCCCCCACCTGCCCATCCAGGAGAACAAGGGATTTGCATTTGGAGCCCTGGGCTTGGGGAGTTGTTCAAATTTGTTACACAGGATTTGGGGGGCAAAAGGTAACTGATATGCCTATACATTCAGAGATTTTAATTCAGCACATCTGAGAATTTAAACACGGAACCTGGTGATGGATAGCCAGTTTATGGGAAGAAATGCCCTAACCTCTTTCTCATTCATTCATCCACAAATAGAATAATTAGGGTTGTTGACAGTTGCTAGGCCCGATAGATTAAGCACATGGAGTGTATTTAATCACTCACTTGCCTAGCCCACAGTGGACCCCCTAAAATTGCAGTTTCTTTCCTGAGCTCTGCTGCTGGCATTGGGCACCCCACTTGGGGGAGACAGTAGACGGAGCCTAGGTGCCCCAAACCTCTGGGAGAAGGTCATCTGTGCACTCCCTTTTTGAGTGGGTGTTGGGATTCAGCTCTAGCACTTACCAGTGTTCACTGGGAGGGCCAGTGAGATGATGAATTTGCAGGGAACCACCTGGGGCACATCAGAGTTGAAGGTGCTGGCGGGCCCATATGAGGACTCGCTGCTGAATGGGTGCTCAGAGTCTGACTCCTGGACTTGGGCTTTGACCTTCAGGTACTCCTCCATATCACACTCACTCCCAGACTGGTAAAAGCTGCCCATGGAGGACATGGGCCCCATGCTCACCCTGTCCTCATCCTCCCACTCCCAGGCGTGCAGCGACATTCTGAAGAGCACCCACAGGCGTGGCACTCCTGGCTGCAAGAAAATAAAGGCACTGCTGTCACCTCCCTCTGTTCCCAGGAGGTAAGCTTCACCTCTTTCAAGATGACTCACTTTTCCCCTCCTTCCCTTCCCTGTCCTGGGTTGAAGGGTCAAGGCCTGGGACACTGCCTGGCACACAGTAGGCACTCAACAATGAACCACAGAGCATGATGGCTGGCAGTAATCATAAGTATCCCCAGTTTCTCCAACTTGAGTCTATCCTCCCCGCCCCAGCCGCTCCTCCTTTCACAAATCAATCACTGGCCCTCTGGAACGCCAGCTCCAGGTAAGTGCACTTACGGAGACCCGCAAGGCTGGGAGAGAAGCCGGTGCTTCCCCTCGAGAAGCCTCGGGCGAGAGCACAGGATGGGTTTGCAATGTGGGGACCTGCGAACCAGGCAAGGGGACAGCACGTGCAAGAGCCTGGAGAGGTCGAAGAGGGCGAGAACCCCCGAGGCGAGACTCGAGTGGGCCTTGAGTGCTGGCCTCAGGGTCCCTGGAGGAGGAACCCGAGCTAAGGTTTTGTTTAGAAAGGGGTGCCCAGGTGGAGCAGCAGATAGAGGGGGACCTTCCGTACCTGCAGGGGGATGCGCTGGGCAGCAACCTGGGCTCAGACCCGGGCGTCAGTCCGCTCGCACACCTGCCCTACAGCCGCCCGGCGCACCGCCGCAGGGAGGCCCGCGGGACGCCGCAGCGCAATTGTGTTGGACAGTTGCTAGGAGACGGGCGCGGCCCGGGCTTCGGGGGCGGGGCTCCGGGGCGGGGCTCCGGGGGTTGGGGCTTCCCGCCCCTCCCACCAGGTGCACAGACAAGGTCTGGCAAAAAAGGTGTATCCAAATTCAGAAGCTAGTGGCCTCCTTTCATCCACTCATTCATTCAGCCTTTAAGGAATTCCTGCTCTGAACGTGAGCACCTATTATATGCCTCGCCCTTCCCTACAGTACAGGGGACAGGGGTTTGGGCTCCCCCTTATACCGCCAGCAGCCCCTGCGTCCCATTCTTTGATAAAGGCAGCAGAAGCCATGGGCTCTGAAAACTCTGATAACCCTACCCTACCCCGAACCTCTTTCGCACACACTCTCTGCTTCTGTTGCTGACGTCCTTAAAGAGATGAGGAAACTGAGTCTTAGACTAGTGGCACGACCTGCCTGAGGCCACAGGGGTGAGTGTGTCCTGGCAGCGCTGGACTGAAGTCCAGACTGACTCCAAAGTCTGCGAATACCCGCCCACCCAAACCCCCAGGTGAGAGAGGCTGGCTTCTGCTCCCTACATAGACTATGTAATGCCCAAGGCGCTGGCGTGCAGGGACACACCACAAAGGTGACTGGCAAGAGGGGGCAGGAGCCAGGGACAGGTTTCATGGAGGAGGTGACAAAAGCCAAACTTTGGGGCTTGCCAAGCAGTGAAAGCAAGAGAAAGTATTCCAAGCAGAGGGAACAGCATACCACATGACCACTCACCGCAGCAACCTCTGCAGCATCTCCTGTGGGGACAGCTCTGAGCTCAGAATTGAGGGGCCACAGGTCTTAGACAAAGCACCATTGCCTGGTCCTGAATATGCATCAGAATCACCAGGGAGTATGTCAGAACTTCAATCCTGAGGCTTCGCTCCAGACCTGCAGCATTGATTCTCCAGCAGTGGGGCTTAGGAACCAGTAAACACGGGGTATTTTCTGAAGAGAGTCACTTCAATAGATTCCTTCCCACACATTCTTCTTCTAGAGTGATGTTGGCACTCCTCCCATCCAGTGGTGGGCCTAGTCCCTTCCCCTTTGAACCCAGATAGACCTTTGTGATCATCTCAGCCAAAGTGACACTCTGACTTCTGAGGCCAGCTTATACAAACTCCATCTACTTCTGTTTTGTCCATTTGGGGAGCTCATTCTAAGAACTCAGTCACTATGTTGTGAAGAAGCACAAGCAGCCACATGGCAAGTCCACATGGAGATGTGCTGGCCATAGCACCAGCAGAGCTCCCAGCTGACTCCCAGCCCCAAGCACCAAACATGCAAGAGTGCCAGGTTTCCAAAGATTCCAGCTCCCAGCCTTTAAGCCACCCCCAACTGACACTATGTGTAGCAAAAATCAGCTGTTATCACCAAGTTCACCCCAAACTGCAGATTTATGACCAACATAAATTATTCTCGTCTTAAGCCACTAAGGTTTAGGGGCACCTGGGTGGCTCAGTGGTTGAGCATCTGCCTTCGGCTCAGGGAGTGATCCTTCGGTCCTAGGACTGAGTCCTGCATCGGGCTCCCTGTGAGGAGCCTGCTTCTCTTTCTGCCTTTCTCTCTGTGTCTTTCATGAATACATAAACAAAATCTTTTTTAAAAAAAAAGGCTCTAAGGAAAAAAAAAGGCACTAAGGTTTAAGATGATTTGTTGCATGATAATAAACAACTGGAACAGACCCCCATATTTTTCAAAATTACCTCCACCAAGACTCTATTCCACAGTCAAGGATTAGAACCACTACCCTGAGAGAAATGGTGTCGAGGTCAAGATCCAGCGTGTCATGGGATGGAGTGAGGGCAAAGGTGTGCTACCTGGCGCTCAGCTGTGAAAGGTGGATCCAAAATCACACCTCCGTCAGCAAAGATGGCTTCAGGACAGGCAAAGTCCATGTAAAGAAGAAAGGGCATGTGTTCCAGTTGTCTGTTGCTGCATAGCAAAACATCCCAAAACTTAACAGCATTAAAACAACAGCCACTTATTATTTTTTTACAGTTCTGTGGATCAGCTGGACAACCACTGGTGGGGGTCAGACTCACTCACTGGGCTGCATCATCTGTATCAATAGGGCTGGAAGCTCCAAAATGGCAGTTGGGGTACCTTAATCCTCCGTCCCCACCATGACCACCCTTCATGCTCCACCTGGCTGGACTGGCTTCCTCCAATGGCATTCTCAGGGCAGGGGTGCACGCTACAAGGCCCTTTGTCACCTAGGCCTGAAAATGGCACAGCATCACTTCCACCATATCCATTGACCAGAGCAAGTCACAAGGGCCAGCCAAGACCCAAGGGGATGAAGAACAGACTCCACATCTGGATAGGAGGAAGGGCAAAGCCACGGTGCAGAGCAATCTGAAGGGATTCAATCACTGTGTCCTTCTTCCTCGCAGGGTAGGGGAGCGCCAAAGCTTCCATGGGCACCTGAGGCTTTCTGAAGTTCTCCCAAGCCTCTGGCAGCTGGATGCATATTTGGGGAACAGCTATATCCGTCTTCTCCTCGCCATCTCTAACCCCCCTTTTTAATAGCTGTACTGAGGTATATTTTATATCACAAAATTCATCCATTTCAAGTATAGAATTTAATGATTTTTAGTGACTTTACCAAGTGACAAAACCATCACTACAAATAAGTTTTAGAACATTTTTATCTTCCTAATAAGACCCTTCATACACATTTACGATTAATCTCTGTTCTGAGCCCCAGCCCCAGGTCACCACTAATCTACTTCCTATCCCTTTTCTGGACATTTCACATAGATGGAGTCATGTGATATATGGCTTTGCTTCGTGACTGACTTCTTTCGCTTAGCATAATGTTTCTGAAGTTCATTCATGCTGTAGTATTAATCAATACTCCATTACTTTTCATGGCTGAATAATGCTTCATTGTGTGATGCACATTTTGCCTATCTGTTCATCAGTTAATGGACATTGAGGTTGAACATTTAGATATTTATCAAAAATGCTGTCATGAACATACCCACAAAAAGTCTCTGCGTGGACAAATGTGTTCATTCTCTTGGGTAGACACTCAGAGTTAAATAGCTGGGTCATGCGGTAATGAGGCGGTAGTGATGCAGAGAACAAAGGCAAAAGAAAAAGAATTAAATTTCTTTACTACTTACAGCCCATTGACAAGTCCTTGAGACATGCAGAGTGATCTTCCTCTAGGAACTCAGCTGCCTCTAGACACTTTGCTAGAGGCAGAAAGCAATCCTGGCTTAATATTAGTCCGAACCTCCAGGACCCTGAAAGTCTCCTTTAACATATAAAAATCCTTTTGGAAACTTCCTTTACCATCCCCTCCACCCCCAAGATACATGTTGGCAATCATCCTGCAAGCATGTGCTGCACTGATATACATCCGAAGGGTCTCACCACTAAGGTTTTACTAGACAGTAATAAACCACCTTTTCCTTATAAAAGCTAACTCCCACCCCCCACCCCCCACCCTGCAAGGTCCTAGAAACTTTGTTTCCAAAACCCTTAGAGACTTATGCTATCCCTAACCCCTCTCCCATCTTGAAAGTATATAATCAGTCACCCATCACAACTCAAATGCAGCTCTTTCTGTCCACGGGGGCCGGGGGTGGGGGGGTGGGGGGCGGGTCCTGTCCCCGTGCTTTAATAAAACCACCTTTTTGCACCAAAGACGTCTTTCTTGGCCATTCACTCCTAAACTCCAATATTTCCACATCAGCAGTTTCACACTTGCTCTTTTTGAGAAATTGTCAAACTGTTTTCCAAAGCAGCTGCACCATTTCACATTCCCACCATCATAGTATGAGGGTTCCTGTCTCCATGTCGTCCAGAAACCATTTATTGTGGGTCTAACTTATTACGAATCCTCATGAGTATGAAATAGCATCCCATTGAGGTTTTATTTTGTATTTCCCTAATGACTAATGATACTGAGATCTTTTCATGGACTTATCGGCAATTCATATATCCTCTTTGGTAAACCATCTGTTCCTCTCTTTTGCCCCCTTTTTGATTGGGTTGTTTTTCTTCTGAGCTGTAGGAGTTATCTGTAAAGTCTGAATACAAGTCCTTTACTGGACCTATGTTTTACAAACATTTTCTGGTCTCCTCTGGGTCCTTTCCCTTTCTTAAGGGTGTCTTTACCACTGCTGTTTGAAGTGCAAAAGTTTCAAATTGATTGATTTTTTTTCCTTTTTGGACCATTCATTTTGTGCTATGACTAAGAAATCTTTGCCTAGTTCAGTCCGA